TGTCAGTGGTACCCCAGGGCACGTGTCACACCGTGCTTTGGCACTCTGGCTGTTGTCACTCCCACACCATGATGAGGTGCCTGGGTCGGAGTTTTGTGGGAGGCACTATCACTTATACGACAAATAAACCCATAGTAATTTATGCCTTCTGGTCCAGAATGGCGATAAGCACTTCCAAAGCCAACCCACCTCTCTACCTTAAGGAAGATCCTGCCGAAACGTCGGCAGTCATCACTTGTCTGATTGACCAAGTTGTTTTCATGGTGCATAATAAATAAGCAGTGTTTTATGCCGTTTACAATTATTTACTATCACAAACTTTTCACCACGACTTAACCTAATCAAGATGTTGTGGCCTGCGATTTTTTCCTAATGTTGGTTTCATTGGCGATATTTTCACCACCATGTCTTCATCAGATACGGTCTAAAACTGTCAAATACCAGCCTGAATTTCATATTTGGGACAAATTCGCATTGTATTCAATAAGTTTCTGCCGACAATAGCGCCCACACTGAGACCTCAACATGTTTCAAGTTTTCCACATTCGCTGTCAGAAGCTGTTCCTTGCCATCAGATTCACAACTAAAAGCTCTTCTGCCATAACAACATGATACGATTCAGCTGCCAACGGCATTTTAGTAATGACGTCAGATTTAATTGCGACAGTCTTGCGCATCGTTCACAGTCGGTAATTCAGTCAAGATCGCGATGGAACTGATCCGTCTTTTTCACTGCATCATACAAATGATCGTTGAAGCAACATGTTACAGGTCAATCCAATATAACGAATTCCGTAACAAAAAAATTTTCAGTAAAATGCACAATTTCCCATGTTTTGAACACTTAATAAAATATAGTAAATTGATCTCGTTAAACGAAATTTCAGTATAACGAACATTTATCGTCGATAAAAAGTTTAATTTAATTTAATTTCATACGTGCACAAAACAAGCATCGATCACATTTATCTTTGTTGTAGATAGGCACAGGGCATCTACTTTGAATAAATTTAACTATGTTCTGTGTCAACGACATTGCCAAACAATGTTTCGGTGTTTCCCAAAGTTCAGCACAATAATCCATTATGAAATGAACAAATAAACAATAAAACGGATTTTAGGATAGAAACATTTCAAATATTGTTGCCATTCTTTTCAGAGTTACTTCGTACATGAAATTCTTTAGTCTTTAAATAGCGCGCTGCTCGAGGGTACTGTATACTGTACTTGCAAAAATCAATGTCCTCAAACAGTTGAAAGTGACAGCCTAACTGTCGAGACAACTGTCCTGCCCCTGGTTCGTTTTTGAGTTTCTTGTGTTCTGCTGACCTAACCGTCTGGCGACAACTACACGTGTTTACGAAAGAAGTCTCTCTTTAGGATCATGCAGTCAAAGTAAACTCTTGTTTTTTAATTGTATTTTTACCGTTTTTACAAACTATTATGTATACTGTAGCGTTTGTAGTTAGAATTATTGCGGATGACAAAGCGATTTAATTAATGACGTTGCGAAATAATTTGTTTTACTCCTTCGACTGGCTACAATTTTAAAAGGTTGTAAAAAGATTGAGGAAAAAAATAAGACTCTCATTAAAAGAGCATTAGGACCTCAAAGAAAAAAGATTCAAAATGTTTTACATGATTACATCGATAAAGCTGTTTTTCGATGGCTACAAGACGCTCGGTTAAAAATATGCATATTAGTGGTCAAACATTACGCGCAAAGACATTAGATTCTCAGAAGTTTCTAGGGCATGATAATTTTGGAGCAACTATTGAATGGTTTAGTAGGTTTCGAGAACAATATGGAAGAAATTACAGAGCAATCCGTGGAGAAGAGAACGATGTACTATAGGATCGGGTTAACAAATGGTGTGCTGGTGAAATTGCAAAGATAATCGCGGAGTACGATATCAATGATATTTTTAATGATGTTGAGACTGGGATCTTCTGCCAATTATTTCCACATCGTACACTCATTGCTAAGGGAGATCGACGCAGAGGAGAGAAATCAAAACAACGTTTAATTCTCTGGTTTTGCTACAACGCTTCTAGACCAGAAAAACTGAAACCACAAATCTACGGTGTTTTAAGATTGTTCGATCAATTCCCTGCGATTATCATACAGACAAACGTGCTTCGATGACACTATAATATTTAACGAATGGCTAAAAAACTTGGATTTGCAAATGAAAAAAACAGAAAAATCGTTCTCTTAATTGATGATTACTCGACACATAATTTGACATGTGTATTAAAGTCGAGTTTTTACTTCCAAATTGTACAGCAGTCCTGCAGTGTTTGGATTTAGGAATCATACGTGCAGTCAAAATACATTAGAGGAACCAAGTTATCAGAAATTTTTTGCTGAAATTAGTTTCAGATGATAAGGAAAAAGTAAAAGTTGACGAAGCATGTTATATGATCGCTGCGACATGACGTTTCGAAAAAAATCGACTATATTAAAGTGTTGGAAGAGGACCTCGATTCTTGCATACAGTGATCTTGAAAAGCAGGCAACTGCAACAGAGAAGACTGGAACGGAAGTGGAGCATGAGGTTAGAGGAATGGGGGATTCTATATTTGCTGCCACCTGAGTTGTGGACACAGTTAATTATGATGATTACATAGATGCAGATGACAGTTTATTGGAATAGAGTGAGTCGACGGAGCAGAAAATTATTGAAAATATACAGGAAGTTTCATATAATGCCGATACTTGAGAGTGAGGATGACGATGAAACTGCTGTTGAGTCTTTAAATTACGGTCTCAGAAGCTTCAGACAGCCTAATAAAAGTTTTGTTTGTCCTATACTACTGGTGTCTCAGAAAATATTTTTCAGCAATTAAATCGGATCCAAAATTTCATTTTAACGGTGCTACTAAAAATATGACAACTGAAAATAACGGACTTTACGATCGAAAATAATGTTTTATAATGATGATTTACATTTGTATAACTATTTTGAAATAAAACTGGCTTATCATTTCCTTTCTTTATTTAGTATAACGAATTAATTTGAACAGGCCGAAAAGTTTCGCTATACCGGAATTTGACCTGTACCAACAATGGTCAAGCCATAACGGAAGCCTTCGATCGTACTGTGGCCAAACGACGTGCTACTAACTGGCGCAGCAGTCTCCCCTAACTGGGAGTTCCTAATAATGAAGACATGCACGCTACCAAAGTTGACTGATATGCACTCTTTTTCCTGTCTCAAGATAAAGTAACTCGTTCGTGCATCGGTGGTCATGCTGAAAAAATAACGAAAAACACGGTTTAATTATACACACGCAAAATACACTGTGGTCATTCCGGTGATTGACCAGTACCGACGCTTCGGCCCGTGTCTCATGGGCCTTCTTCAAGGTAGGATGGTGGT